TGCCTCGTTCTTCACAGTGAATCATACCAGCATAGACCCCAAACAGTTTCAAAAACGATTCGTTTGGACCCATGTGAGTCAAAAAGGATTTCTTGATAGAACCCTACCTTCCGAACCCCAACCATAAACCGTTTGGTGACAAAAGAACGCCCTGAGATTCGATCCAACACCACCGGGTGGGTCGAACGAACATGGTCTCGGCCTCTGTAGCTACGTATGTACCTATATACGTGTCAAAAGGACTTTTCTCCTCTACTAAAGGGAGGTCTATGTCTATTTCACCCAAATGGGTCACAAGAGGGGAGAAGTGTGTGACTCTTGACCAGGATCTTCAAAGTGACCATCTTTGAGATCGGAGAAGGTCACAACTAGGCCGCCTAGGCCTGTTTTTCAGGCACTTAGAGACTCACATGAGGTCACTTCGCAGGTGGGAAGTATTGTGGATGGATGGCCAACCAACGTCCATTTCACCTGCCATCCACCAAAAACTGCCTCAGACCCCTCCCGTGCTTCCCCTCCATGACCCGACCGACCGCCCCTCGCCTGACCGCAGCCGGGGTGCGCTTCGTGGCCGCAACTGGAGACCGGTGAAAGCGGGGAGACTGGTCGGTGAAAGCGTCCTTGTTCCTACTAAGGCCAGGGTCGCCCCGTTCGTAGCGTCCATGCTCGTAGCGATGCCCTGACCGCTCCGTTCTTGACCGCGTCGGGAGTGAGAGTTGGTTTGACGGTCAAACCGGAACGTGCCCTTTGCTGAAAAAGGTGCCCAGTGCCCATCCGTGGATCCCACGCGCGCGACGCGCATCTTCCCCGCGGAGCACATCGAAATCATACTTCCGCAAGAACCTGCTTTGTGTGCCGACAGTCGTGTCGCTTCAGATGATTGTGTAAGGGAACCTCCAGGCTCTATGTGAGCTCAGTGTCTTTAGTGACGCTAGCAAGGACGGACGCTCCTGGCCTCACTACTAGGAACAAGAAGCTGCTGTATCTCATGCATTCAAGGTGCCTAAATTGGCTTTTCCTTTATCTAACTTGCAAAGCGCGTCGCTTGGAACGTGTTCTGCAGCCGACGAAAACGTCATAGAACGTCTATGAGATCACAGACGTGATGTCACTGGAGATCTCCTGTGATGACTTAGCATCCTTGTTCCTAGTAGCGAACATTGCTCCTAGTATGGCCAGGAGCCCCCGTTCGTAGCGATGCCCTCTGCTCCGTTCGTAGCGATGCCCTATGGCCTCCGTACCTCCGTTGCTATCGAACGAAAACGTACCGAGCCTTGATCCCCTGCACGGCTCCAATGATGCAGTCCGTTGCAGGGGACCATGGCATGAGACTCTTAGGGTACATAACCCCCCCCAGGCTTGAATTGGCAAATCCTCTTCATATGGGTTAACGGTCATGAATCAAGAGTCTGCATGACTTTGGTACTTTTGAGACGGTTTTTCACACCGCTCCGGATCCGTCGTCTCTCATTTACTGTAGGCCGAAGCAAGAATGACTCAGGCAGCTTAAGACTCTTACGCTGGTGGCATAGTTGTCGAACAGAAAGACCAACGTCGAAGCATCTGAGTTGTGGAAACCTGGTACAAAACCCTTCGAAACCTGATAGGTTAGAATCCCAACTAAACCATGCAGTGGGGGGTATTGGCCACTGTGAATGAGCAGCGTAGATTGAGGTTAACTGCAGCAGGTATGAAACGTTTTTGCGGTGATGGGTTCTCGAGCTCTTCTCTTGGCTTTCCACCCGATGAAAGAAGAACAAAACACACTGCTGTGTTGGTCTCTGAATCGATAGATTGGCAGGGATCATCAAACTCGTGTGTAGCAATCAGAAACCGGACAGATAAAACTATACAAAATTCAAATACCTTGCATGTGCTTGACGAGCTTGTCAATTCAACACGTGCTCATTGCCAGTTGATGAAACGGCGTTGAACAAGTCCTTTGCTTCGCAGCCCGCTCCCCCCGCCTGCGGTGCCGCGACGGGCTCCGAGGGCGGCACAGCGACGGGCTCCGCCTTGACGCCCGGGTGGTTCGACTCCGATGTGCTTTGAGACGACTCGGGCGTTTCCTTCCCTTCAGAGCGAGGGAAATGGCACCAGCAAGACGCGTCATGGCACCAGGAGACCGACCGATGAACCTGCTTTTGTCGCCTGGTGTCGATTTGGTCGGAAACGTATGCGGCAAGTTTGGTGGACTGGTCGGGCTCCAAGTTTGGACCCCATCCACATATACCCAGGGGTTCGAGGTTTTTCGGAGCTCCAAGTACAGGTTGGAGAAGATCCCGAACTCGTTGGCCAGCCTTGCGAGTAATACGCAGATCACAGGTAGAAGAGATGATTAAAAACAATAGACGCTCCAACTCACCATAGGAAAATAGTCTATCAAGTTGACCTTTCTTCCATCTGCTCACTGCTTGGCGAACTATCCCGCCCCCAAACCAAGCAGCTTAGAAATTTGAGGACTTTGAGGATTTCCTCTAAGACTCTAAGCCGAAATCTGTAGGATGCCCAACAAAGGAACACAGGGCTTGCTGGCCAGCCAAGTGCGACAGGGTTCTCCGCCAAAGATTCCTCAACTGACCTGGAACTGAACCTACCACATGTCGCCGACTGATCAGTTATTATATGACATGCATACATACCTCTGTCTGACCCGCAGAAAACTTCGGCTTTCAGTCGATTCCATTCAATCCGAAGAGGTGCGGGGCCCAGAGTTCTAGTAGCGATGGCCCGGCCTCCAACCTACAGTACTGACCTACTAGCGGGGGTTCAACGCCCGAGTTCACATGAGTTAGACTTCGAGTCCAGTCATGACTCAAACTCCCAGGTAGTGGGGGGGTGTCCAATGAGTCAAAGAAAGAAGTTCTGGGTATACCTTGGGGGACCGACGATGCTTAGGCCTTTCTCCAAAAATAGATAGTTCTATATAGGTATATAACTGTGTACTGCTGGTAATAGGACACATCCGAGGTATAATGTATAAATTAATATATAAGTAAATTAACAATAAATAAATATATAATATATATTATATATGTACACCAGTTTTCAAGCCTCAACCCACGACTTCCCCGTTTCGAAGGACAACCACGGACGATGCTCCGTGTTTCCGACGTCCGACAGACTCGCCTGCAGATCGGCGCTTTCCGCTGATCGAGGCGCGCGATCGTTGGGCCAGTTCACCTCAGTGGCGTTTCCGCCGAACTCAAACGGCGGAGTGGCGCGAGACATCCTCGAGGGTTCCTGGAGGGTTCAGTTCTTCGCGTTCAAAGAGACGATGTTGTTTGGGTCTTTGGTGGCGCGAGAAACGGCACGAGACGACGCGAGACGTCAGACGGAGAGGCTGGAGAGGCAGACGGTTTCGGGTGGTTCCGTCGAGCAAGAAACTGATATCCGAGTTGCCAATGGGTGGCGGAGCTTGGGGAGAAATCAATCCATATGGGCGTTTGACATCAATCCCCGTTTGGACATCATCTGACATCAAGCCAAGAAGCAAAGGAGACAGGAACTTTTGGCACCTGGCGTCAGGTGCTGAACCACTCGACCCCGGGCTCAAGCCCACTGAGGGTGAAAGTCCATGGATGTGCAGCTTGGACTTGAGGATCTGTTTAGGGTTTAAGCTTTAAGAAAAACTTGAGGCCGAGGGTAGGTGACGAAAGCTAGCAGGGGTGCATCCGGACTGGTGGGACATCAAGCGGAGTGAGGCAAATGCTCATGAGGTAAAACGTTGTGAACATGTAAGACACACAAACAGCAATGACACAGCCAACCTTAGAATTGAAGTCCCCGATAATTAAGGAAGCGTGGCTGGACTTTGCCACACTGTTCGATGCATCCGATGTGTTCACGACCCTGTGAGCTTGTTGAATCTGTTGCACCGTATCCCAAAACCTCCACGGAGGAGTTGAACCAGTGTGGATGCCATAAGAGGTGCCCAAGAGGTGTCCCAGAGGCAAAACAAAGCTGCTTGCATGATTTGTTTGGTTTCTTCTATCGATGTCGATGTCATGAACATGTGAGCTTGTTGAATCTGTTGCACCGTATCCCGGAGGAGTTAAGCCAAAGTGGATGCCATAAGAGATGCCCGAGAGGTGTCCCAGAGGCGTCCGAGGGGGGAGTTGAACCCACGGGGGGGGACCTACATATGAAGTTTTCACGTGATGCGGCGATCCCGAGGATTCCAGCCCCTCACTTGCTAAAGCAAGGACAACTCCAGCTAGCTGGTGCTAGCTTTCGTGAAAAGATGTCCAATCTTCAGTCTGAATATCCCTGAAGTAGCTCTGGAAGGTGGTGTGAAAACATGTGAAAGCCACCTGAGTTTGTAGTGAAGAGGCTTCGTCACGTCACCCGGGTCCTCGGGGCCACGCCATCCACATTCATGACTCCCAAGTAATGCCGATGATGTCGGCCACTAAGGAGAGCACACACAGAGGCATTTTTGTCGAAGCTTGTCGAAACGATGTTGGACCAACACAAACTTTCAATATGGTTATGTTGATGGACGCGAGGTTGTTTTCAACAGCCCGTGGTGCAAGATATGCTGCCCGAGTAGCCTTGCAATACTAGCATGTTGTGCTTCTGCTTGCTCTCGTTCTCTTCCTCTTCCAGAGAAAGTGAAGAGAAAGAGACAGAGAAAAGGAAGAGAAACAGCAAGAGGAGAGGAAGAGAAAGAGAATGGTAGGAGGAAGAAAAAGAGAGAAATAGAACGAGGAAGCGGCAGAAGAAAAAGAAGAGGATGAGGACCTGCACCTGCCCTGCTTACGCCTGCGCCTGATGCCTGCACTTGCCCTGCTTGCTCCCCGGCCCGCTCTTAGGCGTAAGCCTTGAAATCAATTGTAGCGAGTCTCCATGTTTCTTTACAAAGACTTTGTCGCACTGGACCTGGCGTCACAAAAGGTGTGAAGATTCACAAACCCAATTCGACACCTGCCAGGCACTCCCATTGACAAGAATTCGACACCTGGGCTTCACTCAGCACCCAATCATCTCAACACCTCACCTCAGGTCGCTTCCGTGCAGTGTAGACCCAGGGCGCAGTGGCCTGCGCCGGTCTCCGCGAGCGGCACGCGACCCCGCTGCTCTTTCGTCTGGTCCGCCACTGGTGAATTCGAGGCGGATCAGGTGACTTGGGGTGCATTGTGGACGGGTAACTGATGAACAAACACGACAGAGAAAAGAAGGATCTGTGTAACTGTGCACACTGAGGTCCAAAAACATCCCCTAGTGACTTGGATGACTTGGAGGTCAAAATCCAATGCCAGCACCGACCAGCACCTCTCACCCAGTGGTTTCAGTTCAGTTGGCAAAAGGTCGATGAGAACCTGGGGAACCCCTTGTGATTGGCAAACATCCCAGCAAACGTCGGCCCAAAAGCACTGTCCCAAGGTCTCATGGTGCGTTTCAGGCCCAAAAAGTGCCTAATTTGGAGGTTCGTAGCTCTCCGCAAGAACCCCTGCCGCTCCCGCCGAAAAAAGTCTCGATGTTTCGCTTCAAAGCTTCGGTTCCCCATCGAAATGTGACGCCCCGTTCAGAGCAGTCACCTCCGGTGGAGAGGAGAGCCCAGGCGAAGCGTAGCTGTGTCCGCCCTGGCCGGTGTTCACTCACACTCGACTCGAAACGTAAAAAAATCGACTCCAAAAACGGGGGCAGCCTCTCCGAGGCGAGGCATGAGGATGTAAAAAAATCGACTCCCACCAGTTGACTGGGTGATTGGAAGAAACGACAAAGACCCAGCCGGCCTTGACCCACAACAAATGTTCGAATTCTCAGCTCACAAGTCGATGCCCAACATCCACCCACGTTCGATCGTCAGAGCTGTCGCTCCTCTGCCTGGTCCATGATTGCCTCAAGCAACTTCACCACGACTCGGTGCGTCGGTCAATCCAAAAAGCATCCAGAGTTATTGCTTTTCCCACCCTACAATCACCACCTGGCTGTGGCTCCAAATCACATGACCTGCGAAGAAAAAGAACTTCTTGGCTTCGCCATTGGGAGAATGTTCCACACGGGGCTGAGGGAGCAGTGTTACAAATAAAATGAATTTCCCCAAACCTTTCTAGTGAAGTGAACCGATCTCAATCATGAACAAAACAGTTGAAAAGAGGAAGCCTTTGAACACAAACATTGGAGCATGGCTGGTGACACATGAACAAAAGGAGCACGGCTGTTGAGTCTATAGGGTTGCAAAGTCTATCAATGTTTATCCGTACCATTCAAACTAAAAAAAGAACACCTGGCTGCCTGAGATAAAGAACACCCTTCTGATGGTTCCAAGTGGTGCCAGTGTCCTTCTTACATCAACAGCAGTCAATGAAGAGTCAATACAACAATCCCTTGGGCCCAAGCCAACACGAACCAGCCCAACGGATGTGATTTGGCATCCAGGTTGCTTCTCGGGCCAATTGCAACAGCGAGACGATCTGGGACATGGCCTGACTGCGACAAGCCAAACGAAGGGATGAACTCGGTGTTCAACACCGAAATCAATCCCAACGAAGGATTACCCAATCCGACCTCCACCGTTTTCCACAGAAATACGAAGCTTTGAGAGAAGATCGATCTACTGTGCATATATTATATATACCCCTGGATTGATTGTGTAGAGTTACACAATTCCACACTGACGACACTGCGTGGCGAATGGGGGGAAGTCGAAAGTCTTGCAAATACCACGCACTGCTCAAAACCCGCGACATTCTGGGACTTAAAGACTATAAAAAGAATTGTCTCTAGGTGACCGGAGAAGGAATATGCTTTACTTCGCTGAGGCAAAATGTAGAATGTAGTCGTTTGACTTCCAGGGCAACATATGGGCCAACAGTACTGACATGCTGACACCAAAAACCCACCAGTCCTGCAAAACAATCTGCTGGACATGGACTGGGGGCCAAGTGCATGTTGAATGCGGACATCGGACCTGAATTTAACGGAAGACCAGCAGGGGTGCCCATGTTGCTGTGCTGACACTTTCACTGGTACTTGGTTTCCCCAATGGGGGGAAGTTCAAAACGACAAAGACCCGAGTCTTGACCAGCTGCATCCGGCTCGACCCCGCTCCGCCGCCGTGGGCGGCCCCGTGGGAAGATGCAGAAGAGATGGCCGGAGGAACCCAACGAAAAACACTCTTGACATCTCCTCTTGTGCTGCTTCATGAGGATTGCATGCTGTTTCTTTTTGGCATATTGCTTGTCTTTCGATGCTGACTGGCAGCTTCAAAGTCCAAAGCAAGCAGCTCTCGAACGGCGTTAGAGAGAAGAAGCAGTCGTCCGTTGAACCCAAGGCGTTCGTTTGCGTTCGAGCGCGTTCCTTTTAAGTCTGCTTGCAATCCAAGAAAATGAGTCCTTCTACTTGGAGCCTGGAAAGGAGCTTGCAAGCTCTCTAGCCGCTTGCATCGATCTTGGGACACTGTTCCGGTGTTTTTGGTTCATGTGAACCGTGGATTGGAAATGGGAAAGACCGTGAGAGGAAACTTGTAAATGGCGAGATGAAATCTATCGTTGTGAGAAGGCGTTTCAGGCTTTTTTGATCGACAACGGCCCCAGCTTGCCGGACAACGACCACCGCTCCGATGCCCGGAGCGAAGGAAACGTCGCCCGCCCGCCCGCCAGGAGCCTTCTCTTGAAAAGAGTGGCTGCCAGAGGCTTTCCTCAGCATCTCCACCCAACGGCTGGCCACCTGCACTGCCCACTCTGCCCACGCAGAGTGCACCCACGCAGCTCCGCCACTCTGCCCGTGGAGAAAGGCCGAGATGGCGAAGGCTGGCTAAGGAAGTGGAGAAAATTGGGGTATTTACAGCGTGACAAGACGGAAACGGCCAAGCGGTGCAACATGTCTTCTTTTACCCATCGGATGTTCCAATGATATATACTTTGGGTTCCCCTAGATGTCTGGGATGGGTTCCCCACCATATTTCCGCCGCTCTTTTTGACATGCACCGAAACGACCACAAATACGGGGAAATGTTCCATCTTGCCCACGCCAAGTGCGGCCTGCTCATCAGCAAAGGTCAAGCGAAAAGTGCGGCCTGCGCTGCTCATCACTGGCACGAGCTATCAGTGATTGGGTCTCTGAATGGTCGGTTTTTCTCCGCTTTCTACGAAGATGTGGTGTTTTGCACCTCTCCGCCTTGCCCCACCTTCTTTGCTGGTTTGCTCGTTGAAAATCGCTAAACGGTCTGGTTTGTCTCTCTGATCCAACCGGTTCGCCGTCGCCGGACATGGAGTCCCATCTCGAGGTTCTGCCGACAGCTGGAGTGGTCTTTTACCCACCGAGAGCGCACGGCCAACATGTACCACGGAAGAATCGCACATTTTAGATGCCCACACTGCCGGATTTGAACACAAGGGCATCTGGTGAAACAAAGAATGGTCTGAAAGACTTCAAATTTGGAAATCTTGTCGTAAAGGCCTGGAATGAAGGCAACCATCAGCGGAACACAAGGCGCCAGGCGCCATGCAGCCCTGAACCCAAAGCTTGAATCCATGGAAAAAAATGGTGGCAAAAACTTGTACCCTTTTTGTAAATGGTTTACTATACTTACTCTTCATGTGCCACAGCGTCTATACTATAAGGTCCACAAAAACGGTATACAATGCATACAATGTAAATGAATGGATACTTCAGACCCGGAGAAAAAAATAAACAACTCTGCCCCTTGATCAGCCCGACCCGACCACGGCCGCGGCGGCCTGACACCCTCAGAGTGCAGCGTCTTCCATCGCGGCGCGCCTCGTCGTTTTATCCGGGATCGCGCGAGCGAAAGCGCATCGCCGGGATCGCGAGCGACAGCGGTCAAGCTGGTCCCACATCGGGTCCATCCTGTTGGATTGTTGATTTCTTTTAAGCCCATGATCCAGCCAGGGTCCAGGGTGGTTGACCCCTAAAGCGAAGGAAAGGTGCACCATTGCCGCACCATGTCTGTCTTTTGATGCTTGTGTGTCCTGCCTCCGAATCCCAAAGCAAAAGCGCATCCTCCACATAAGACCTCAGTCTTCACAGCTGCGTCTTCAAACTCGCACCGTTGCGCGTTACGCATGGTTGGTCAGACACAAGGAGGCTGAACACCGAATGAACATGGAACGCCAGAAACACAGGGGACGTCCAGCAGATCTTGGAAAAAAGGAACAAAACAACTCACCTGGGTGGACAAGAGAAGACCTTGGTGCTTGTTCGTCTGCTGAAAACCCATGTTCGTGTGTAGCACCTGGGTGGTGTTCTTCTTCACTACTGACGGCGGCCATTCGTCGAAGTGAAGTCTGTGTTCAGTTTGGAGACCCAACTTTCGACCACGAACCAAACGAAAGAAAAAGGACCGGGACCCTGGTTGAGGCAGTTTTGCTTTCAATCACTTCAATCCTCCCAACTCTCTCGGTATCCAGGACTCCTTCGTGCGGTCCAATCGTGTCCAGTCTCCGCCCCCGAGCGGGTCGACAAAGCCTTCCGGCAAACGACGACCTGCAGCGAGGGCGACCGAGCGGCGACGAAGTGGAAACCGGGCGTTTGGACGGGGCTGGCTCTTTACAGCCAGTACCACAGATGAACCGGGAAGCCGGATAAGCCCCATGAATAGCCCCGGCCCAGGTCATCAGACAGACTCATACTCACTGTGAGTGTGACACGTGAGATCACTGGTGACCACCTGACCCAACTTGGGATCCGGGATGTCGCGTGATGTATCGCGTCTCGCCCACCTCGGATCCACACCGACTTCCGTAGGATGGAACGACCAGAACTTCTGCGCCTCGGAAGCAGATGAAGAGCACGTGGCCTTGTAGGATGACCTGAGGTCGCAGGAGTTCACATCGCATGACTTTGGTGGGAAACCCACCCACTTGATTTCATGAGGAATCAGTGGATTCAATCATCCCAAGCAAAGGTTGAGCAAAAGTTCTTTTTGGAGGAGAGGCGCGAGGCAACCCTTGAAAGTGATGGACACAACTCGCAACTCTGCTTCGTCAGTCAGAAGGTCAACGTCATGACCGGCTTTGCCGGGTTTCTGGTACAAGTCCTTTGCTCCTTGGTCGGTAGACGCTGTGCTTTTGTTGTTCGGAAAACGATGGCGGGTCGAATCTCCGGGTGGATTCTGTCCATCCTTGGGCAAGTGATGCTGATGAGCTGAGCCCACTAAAACCATGGAAAACCCACACGACACGAATCGCGAATGGATCATGGAATCGTGGAACAAGTATATTTTTGTATACCTAGAACCTGAGTGAACCCTAGTTTGGAGGATCTATTCAAAAGATGTCAAGTATACACACCCCCCCACTTCGGGGCCCTTTCCTTCTCTAGATCTTCCGAGATCCACTCCCCCTATAGCTCGGCTCGGCCCCCGAGCCACGCGGCTGGAGGAGAGGAAGAAGCCTCGAACCGTGTCCCGCCCTTCTTCGCGGGTCACTGTTTTGACTATCTATCGTGCGGATTGATGGCTCCATCCGTTTCGCACCCCCCCATGCCCCTTCCATCCACACCTGAGGAGACGAATTGGGGAATTTCAATGGCGGGTGCCTTAGATACCTACCCACGTCGAGACCTTGCAGAATATTTTCTAATTATGCCTGCATACTTCCAGTTATATCATATCTGAAAAAATATTCCATGAACTGAGCAGTTACTGGAATAATTTATGAATAAAATATTCCAGAACAATTCTTGTTTTTGTAAATAAATATTCCAAGTATGCATCCACCCTCCTTCTCACAAACAGCAAAATGAGAAGCGCGCTCTGACAGATCTGCGTTTATTTTGAAATAACTATTCTGGGTATAGTTCCACCCTTCTTCTCAGGATTGCCCACTTTTCATCACTCTCCAACATGTTCTTCATTGAAAAAAATATTCTGGGGTTTGTCTCCAGTATCAGTATCCCATACCTCCAGCCATAAATATTCCTGTAAAAATATTCCAGAAAAAATATTATGTGAACTCACGGTATAACCTGGAATATTTAACCAAGGTACCCCCCATGAATTTCATCCTGTGAATGTCCTCCTTCTCATCGGCGCGGCCCAGGGCGCCGCACCCGCCAAGGAGACCTTGGGTTCACGGGATTGGCTCGGCGTAAAGGCGTCAAAACGGATCATGAGGATCCATGGGTTTCAAAGGACCTCTAGGTGACGTGACGGACTTGTCCACCAAGCATTGCCCTTCTGTTCCTCGCCTAAAGTCCTTTATAGAGGCGCCAAGTGTTTCTGACATGGTGCTTTATTCTGTGCATGTGTGAAATCACAGCGGAGATGGTGAGACCTGTTGGACCTGAAGACTTTGCACAAAAAATGACACAATGACAATGTGCCCCACACTCCTGCAAAGACTGCAGCAGCATAAGGACGCTCATGATGCAGGGACCGTGCATTAGAAAGCACCCAGGTTCCAGCCACTACACTGCAGCAAGCAACTCCCAGTAGTTCCACCTTGACGTTTTCCATCACCTCGTGGAATGTGGAAGTCCCTCGTCGGCAATATCTGCAGGCGAAGAAGGTGAAGAGATCCATCAAGATTGGGGCACAACAGAACCAAAGCACCACACCCTCAGCCAACTGCGGCACCGCGTTATCGAAATAGGTGAAATCGCTTCCTGCTGCATGAGACACGGCTAAATCGAGGAAAGCCCAAAGGATGGGAATTGCCACGGAGAGGCTCCATCCTCGCGTGAAGATTTGGTCATGCAGTCCGGTAAGTAGGGTCTCCAAGACTTCCGATCGAGCGTAGTCTTCAAAGGCCTCTTCACTGCCAAACCAAATAGACACACACTTCTTGACAACATTTCGGTCGCACATCATGCGGGCTCCTCCTTGTACATGGTCCTGATCGCAACAGGAACATCTGGCATTGTCAAAGCTGATCTTGCGCATGTTCTCCTTCAAAGTCTCAACCGAGCGAAAATATGCCCTGAAGGCAGCTGCTATGAAATAACCACTGACGGGTAAGAAAAGAGCGACGGAAGCGAGTGGAATAAGAAAAAAAAGGTATCCCAAACCAGCACAGTCAGGCGCTGGAACAGTAGTCACAGGCAGCATCACAACAAACACACCGATGAAAAACACAATCGAACAAGGCCCAAAGAAAGTAGGTCTGATGAGCAGTACTTGTTCACTGGCCGCTTTGCTTTTCAGAAAGGCAGCAAGCTCAAATACACACCACAAGCGCTCACTCCACGTCGGGTCCCACAGCACAAGCATGTAGTCTGACTTTCTCAAGATGCCAGCCAAGCTTAAAATGCTGACGGTCTTCAAGTCATTGTCATGCTCGCTGATGCAAATACGGTCAAAAAAAACCAGCTGCTGTGGCCACCACAGGAAAAATGTAATTACCGCAGTTGCAAAGCCACTTCCCAGTGACCAAGTAGACCACCCCTTGGCATACACCCCATCGAAGCGAGGAAAACCCGGCAGAAGGCCACAGCTGAAGCAAATCGTCATGACCAGAGCAGTGAAAGAGCCTACCAGTACTGCTGGCAGCCCATTGTAGCGCACCAAAAGTGACAAGATCTTCATCCAACGGCTGCCATGCCAGGAATGAGACCAAAAGCAGGAGATCTGTTCACTCATAGAACTCTCTCCATAGAAGTCATGATCCTCTTCCAATGATCGCAGTGCTCGTGCACACTGCTTGAAGGCTTTGTGTGCAGGCGTGGACCTTAAGGCTTCAGGCTTCAAAACCTCCATTCGGGCCACGTAGTTGGCCACCTAGCAGCTGAAATCAACAGACTCAAATTTGACTCAAACCCCCAACCCGCTGAATGGACGATGTGGCACTGCATGTGAATGGACGATTCAAATTGGGGTCAAGAAACAACAAAACACAGCGAGCTGAACATGCTTCATGGATGGTCTATGGACCTTTGCCGTTGTCACCGTGTTCACCTTGCCGTTGTCACCGTGTTCACCCGTTTTCAGCGTGTGCTTTTCACCTTTTTCGCCTCCAAATCCTCCTCTCTCTCGCCACGTGACGAGCCACTCTCCTCGCCGCGAGCATCGCCACCGTGCTGCGCTCCCTTCACCGTGCTCTCGATCCGTTCGGAGGGCACGGTGGCGTGCACCGCATCCCATGGCGGCGAGAGCATGGGGAGTGGGGGTACACTCCCATGCAGCTGTGATGTGGACCTCACGAAGTTTCGGGAGATGCTTGTAGAATGCAGTTGACTTTTGTATGCTATCTAGAAGAGTGGGAAGATGCTTGCCAGCATCGAGAACAAGAATCGCAGACGGAAATTGCAGCATGTGTGACTTTTTGTGACTTTTGACACAGTGTGTAGACTTGTAGACTTGTGCAACAATTGGAGACATCTGTCATAACACTTCAGGTGGGTCAGGATCAGTCGCATGTCGGTGACTGTCGGAACGGACTTGATCCGTTCGCGTGACGCGAGGAGACGAGCTCGAGCGATCGGATGAGACGTCTCGAGCGATCGGAGTGGTTTTGGAGCGCGGACTCGAATCCAAGTTCCATGTGTTGTTTTTGGGCATGTTCTACGAGTCCGGAGTCGCTTGCTCCGCCGTAAACACACGGGGCGAAATGGCCTTGCACTTAGGAGCAAGAGGCTGCAAACACAAAGGCGTGTGTAGGCATGGGCCCGGGGACGCATGTACAAACTACAGGCTGAAGATCACGTCGAATCACGTCGCAACACGTCACTACACGCGCTGAAGTGAGGCCTAACACGAACAAGTGGACACCAACAAAGCCAGGACTTCGTGTCTGGGAGACCCTACGAGAGCACTTTCTGCATGGATGCCTTTCTGCAGCTCCAGCAACTCCTGCGACCGAGGTGCAACTTGAATCGGTCGCAGGTGCGGGCGACAGTCGGAACTCACCGGAGAAGATCAATCCCTAGTAACTATGAATCATCTACAAAGAAATGAAAGACCCAACTATCCCCCCTATTCTCATCTATTCAATTCTAGAGAATTCTAGAGATCTAGTCTATTGTGTTTGGAATCTGAGTTTCGTGTCTGACCAGGTCTTCTTGGCCTCAATCGAGTGCGGGCTGCCCATCGGCGCCCCTAAGGCGGCGCAAATGAAGCGCTCCCGGGCGCCTTCTCCGCGGAGTCGTTTATCTGGGTGTGGAAGGTCTTCAATGACTAGTCCAAAGTGATGTGCACTGTGCAAGCTGTAAGCACTTCTTCCAGAGAAATTCTCCCATCTGAATATCGTCATTGCTGGGATCGCCCGGCTGGGATCGCCCGTGCGACGGTGCGACGGTGCGACGGTGCGACACCCAAAACGCTGCGACACTGAACGCTGGAGAAAGGCACCAGGGAGTTGCGACGTTCAGCTCAACGAAGGCAGAAAACAACGATGAAACTGATAGTCCCATGATGATAGTCCCATGATAGTCAACTGAAATAAGCTCCTGCCCGATAGTCCCATGATAGTCTGGTCACGATGCCTGAAATGTTCTCCACCCAGCTCTACAAAGCATGCTGGTGCCTTCCTGAAGAAGTGCAGAATTCCCCACTGGATTCCTTTGGATATGGACTTCTTTTGAACTCCGAAAACAGCGATGTGCAACCCCAAACGGGAGAACCTCTCCCGGTGATCTTCAGTTGCCCAAACTGCATGAACTAGAGTTCACTAGCACATGACTATACATGACTGCCGTGTTCCCAACCAAAAATGCCTCCGACCATCACCGTAAAAGCCGCCATATCTTTTTGGGCGAATGCCGCGGAGTCCGCAGAATCGGTTGCCCGATCACGGCCCATCTGGAATTCGCCTCCGTTTCGTTCGGGCAAGACGAGACCATGGTTTTCATGAGTGAGGTGAGTGAAAAGCAGCTCTGTTCTAGCACCCAAAAAAGGGACCACGATTTGGACAGAGACCTCGCTTTTCCCCCGCCCCAACAAAAAGGCCCATAAAGGCCCATGGTGTGTGGATCGAAGGGCACGGCCCGCCCCAAAACGGCGAGGAAGGCGGAGGGGGCTTGCCACCCGAGGCGACTCTTCCAACGACCAAGGACACGCTTATCCGGATTGCCGGAAAGGGTGACACCCGCCAGATTTTCTGGAGACTTTGTACAGGACATGAAACAGGGCTAGCATGCACCATAGCCCTGCAAACGCTCCAACACGCATTTCCCAGTCAAATGTCATGGAAATGACCCAGCTTCCAGAGATTGCACAAAAGCAAACAACCCCAACGAGTTCCACTCTGAGGTTCTCCAAGACCTCGCCGAACCAGGTGTTTGCTCGGCAATACCTCCAGGCGAAAAAGGTGCAGACATCCACGAAGATCGGTGCACAACAGAACCAAAGCACCAGGCCGTGAATGGAGAGAGCAATCGACGAGTATTTGGCTTCTGCAACCGCTTCAGAGACGGCTAAATCGAGGAAAGCCCAAAGGATGGGAATTGCCACGGAGAGGCTCCATCCTCGCGTGAAGATTTGGTCATGCAGTCCGGTAAGTAGGGTCTCCAAGACTTCCGATCGAGCGTAGTCTTCAAAGGCCTCTTCACTGCCAAACCAAATAGACACACACTTCTTGACAACCTTTCGGTCGCACATCATGCGGGCTCCTCCTTGTACATGGTCCTGATCGCAACAGGAACATCTGGCATTGTCAAAGCTGATCTTGCGCATGTTCTCCTTCAAAGTCTCAACCGAGCGAAAATATGCCCTGAAGGCAGCTGCTAGGACATAGCCCATGATGAATAAGAACAGAAAAACACCTGAGAGTGGGACGAGAATCAAATAAGCTCCCAAGCTATCCCGGTCTCTCATCGGAATGGTGGTCGCAGGAACGAAGACGAGAAACACGCCGATGAAAAGACCGATCGAACACGGACCAAGGAAAGTGGGTCTGATAAGCAGTACTTGTTCACCCGCTCCACTGGGCGCTTTGCTTTTCAGAAAGGCAGCAAGCTCAAATACACACCACAAGCGCTCGCTCCACGTCGGGTCCCACAGGACAAGCATGTGGTCTGACCTTTTCAAGATGCCAGCCAAACTAAAAATGCTCACAGTCTTCAACTCCAGGTCATCCCCGTTGATGCAAATACGGTCAAGAAAGACCAGCTGCTGCGGCCGCCACACAAAAAAGGTGATCACTGTTGCTGCGAAGCCGCTTGTCAGGGACCAGGTGGACCACCTTGGCGCATTGTCGGCATAGCGGCTAAAGCCTGGCAGGAGGCCAAAAATGAACAAAATAATCATGGTCACAGCAGTGAAAGAACCTACCAGAACTGCTGGCAGCCCATTGTAGCGCACCATAAGTGACAAAATCTTCATCCAACGGCTGCCATGCCAGGAATGAGACCAAAAGCAGGAGATCTGTTCACTCATAGAACTCTCTCCATAGAAGTCATGATCCTCTTCCGATCGCAGTGCTCGTGCACACTGCTTGAAGGCCTTGTGCGCAGGGGTGACCCTTAAGGCTTCAGGCTTCACAATCTCCATTCGGGCCACGTAGTTGGCCACCTAGCAGCTGAAACAGATCCCAAGAACACCCCCCCTCGGAGCTTCACCTACGGGGCCAACTAAACCTAAACACTGGCGGAGTCCACTCCAAACCCGCCTTTTTGCCATCCCTCTTTTGGACTCCACCTTCAAATGCACATCTCCAAGCTGAAGATGGCGCCGCTCGGACGGGCCCAGCCGCTCGGACGGCAGCTCTTCGTTCACCGACCCACTCGACGCACTCGACACCGGACTCGCCGTCCGCTTCGCTTCATCGGGGCGTCCGGCTCGAGCGGCGGGGCGGACACCGACGAGCGACGACGGGGAGGACATGGCTTTGGCGAGGGAAACGAGACGAGTCCGAGATGGTGGAAGCCCCCGGAGTCTGTGAAGTGAGGCGTTGTTTTGGGGCATTTGACTGCCATCTGGAATATGGTTGGCCCCCAAACACGTTTCCGAATGTGTGCATACACTTGAAGTCAAACATGGTCAAGCAAACACATGGTCCATGTCGCAGTGAGAGGGCGGACAATTACAGAAGTTTAGACATCTGACCTTCCACAAGTAAGTGGTGCTTGAACTGGAATGGATTCAAGAACCAAAATGATTCCGTTCAACTTGTCTAGAAGCCTCGGCAGCCTCGCCTCTCTCAAAAATACTACAAAGTGTCTGGTGCTGCAAACTCTTCAAGGGGCAAATGCTTTTAGATTTTAGACTCCCAAGTACAGCTGAAATACTTAAAATTCGAGGAACTATGCCGAGACTGCCATCTTCAGAGACACTCCCATCGTTTCGACGCCGTCAGACTGCTTTCGGGATGAGCTGGAAAAGAAAGGAAAAACGCACTCCACCGACCGCGAATCAAGTGACCTGAGAAGCGCGTGACAGCCTGCAGCTCCACCAAGCTGCAATTGACAGCCCGAGCAGGAAACAGCATGTTTCGTGGCCTACCTCACGTTCAGATACTCTCAGTGAGTCCCACCCCCTGACCGGAACTGTTTGGTCCTCATTCTTGGGCCATACTGGTTGGTGGTTTTAACTCACCAAAAATAGGAGTCAGTGGGTTCAATCATCCCAAGTAAAAGGTCGATGAGCCGAAGATGAAAATAACTGAAACCACCCACCCAGCCTCGCCTGTTCGCTTCTACGGAGACCCCAACTCTTAGTCAACCCCGCTGGCCTCAATGACGATCATCCATGGCGATCGAGAAGCTACGCGAGGTACGCCTGGAAATTCAGCGCAAAGAAGGCGCCAATTCCCCGCCTTCTCTGCGGTCTTTCATGGTGGGGGTATGGTTCTTGATGACCGCCGTCAGGTGTTTTTGTTGGCTGCGAAGAGATCATGTGAAGAGAGGCGAAACCAAAGCAACCTCGGGATGTTCATGAACATCTTGCAACCTTTTCTTGGAATGAGACGTCTTCGGAAAGCCTGGAAGAACCACCGAACGACCGACCGATTTGGAGATCGACGCGACCGCTTGAGGCGTCGATACGCGTGCGGGGTCCATTCGCTCGCGAAGTATCGACTCGGATGGTTGGTAGATTTGGACCGGCCAAAGGCTCAAAGAGAGGGCTGTGAAGAAAGGTGTTCATCAAACAGTTCAAGCCCATGTCATGTGGTCAGAGTCCCAGACCGTTTCGATTCTGCTGTCGTTCAGGTCGCCTACATGAAGAAAATCGTGAAGAAAAACAAAGTAAAGTACCAACAAAATAATCAGCTCCACGTTCACATCATGCCCAGGACTCCAGGACTCAAAAAGAATAGAAAACATCCGAACAGGCAAGCCGCTACAGCAAAACGGGGTTCCTGATCTTTTGTCCCAGCAATGGTGTTCTTGCCATTCAACCATGATTTGGTGTATTCCAAGTCATTATCAATCACCACAATCCCCAGCCCCATTCAACAATCCTTGTGTTTTACCCTTCGAAAACTGCCAGAAGCACCATGTAAAACATATCAAAAGCTAGCTCGCAGCTCGCTTCAGCGCGGGTTCCTGTGACCCAAGCGTGGTCCACCCAGGCCTGTGAGTCGTCTCCAGGATTTCAGTGCATCGAAACATCAAGAGATTGGTGCAGGAGCTTCTTTGGGGCATAGACCGCCAAACAGTTTGGACCGACCATCAGTTCAGGTCGGGTGCTTTCTTTCGCACACGAGCTTCGATCTCTCGATCGATCCGCCGGCCAAGCCGCCCAAGTTCGTTTCGGATCTCTCGGGTTTCAAAGTCGAAGGGAGCGATCGGACCGCGAACCGAACAGGGCGCTCCTGGTACTACGAATGGAACACGGTTCGCTACGACCTACGAACGTCACCAGAAGGGCCTCGCTACGAGCGCGGAGCGATCGGACGCTCATAAGGGGTGGCATTTGGATCCCGCGCTGCGAGGCACAGAGCCGTGTCCAGTGGGGCGACGGGGCTCCCACCTCGCACCCAGACTGTCCAAGCACCCGAAGCGGCCGCCAAGGCGTCAACTGACAGCAGCCGGCAAATGGTTTCACCCGGGTGTTCTCTGGTGATGGGATTACAGTGGCATTCATAGAGTATCAAAACACTTCTCTGCATCTCAACACTGATAGAGTGTCTGGCAAGCTTGAATTCACGCTTC